TGACTGTACAAATTGCAGTGTGGTCCGGGGGACAAGCTTTGCTCTCAGATCCCAAAGACACAGCAATTTTACTGCCTTGAATTAAATGGCTCATTTATCAGAAAAAGGTTCTTGAATGGGCACATCTAGATTTCATCTGAGGACTGGATGAACCTTTGTGCACATACAACAAAATTATTGATTTGATGCAGAAGTATCCCTAACCCACATCCAGTAAGCATACCTGACTCATTTAATGACACTTGCTTTTAGTAAGTGGCAAGAAAATACTTTTTCATCAGACAGTCTCTGCTAGAGTTAGAAAAAGGTCTTCTCCTGACTGAAGTTATTTTCACTCTGCTTATCATTGCAGTGCCTTTTGCATCTTGCCAGTGGACTTTGTATCCCACAGCAATTCTTTGTTCAACAATCACTTTGAATAGCTGTGGCCTGGATTCTCTAATATGCTGTGCTTCACTAATGGAAGTCAGTTTTCTTGCAGCCTTCGCTCTTCTTTAGAGCTATCAGTAATGAAAGCACTATTTTTTTTTCTGAACACAGACTCGGTGATCTCAATAGGTTTTCCAGTGTCCATGTAACTTCTCGGTTTATTGGATTGGCAGTTTTTGAAAGATTACTGAAAGCCAAGACTAGTTCTAGCAGTTACGATATTGCTCAATTTTGTTACTAAATGAGAGGATAGCCACAAAATAAAATAGTTTACACATAAAAAACTCACACATTAAAGAAATTTGTCTTCAATAGAAATGGGGCCAGGCACTTTCTTTTTCATGAGGAACGTCAAAGTACACAAAGAGAGAAGATCCAGTAGAAAACAGCCAGTCCTGAGGTTCGGACATGGCATGTGCAAGGTGAGAAACAAGATACAAAAATTTCAGCAAGATAGATAGAGAAATTTTGTCTATGTGAACTCTCCAGGTGAGAGAAAGAAGCTCACTTCATCTTCACTTCACTTTCGGTTCAAAGATATCCTCTAAACCAAGCAGGAATCTCACCTCTGCCAATTTATATGGAAGCTACTGGCTACCACAGAGTTGAGCTGTTCTCCATTTATCACAGCTCTGAAAAGCCTGAGGAGGAAAAACTCAGATGAAAAGTACCCAGGACATTTCTAGAAAGAATCCATTATCTCCCTCCCAAGGGCATACAGAGCACTTTACCTATTAGCCAGAAGAACTGCTTTAAAAGCAGTGCTTAAGAAGCTATCATGCTATGTAATTTCCTGGATGAGCTCTACCTCTGCCAATCTTGCTTCAGAGAGGTAGTTCTAACAAAGGGACTCACTTTATGGGCAGCCTCTGTGGTTTTTAGGTAACCACAGTATCGGTCACTTCAAAATGAAATGTATTGGCCCCACTGCGAAAAGAAACAGTGTGTTTAGAGTCTTTCCAGAGATTCAGCCCTTCAACTGCTTGTAAGAGAAACACATGAATCCTGGAGACACAATTTATGAGTTTTCAACACTAAAGACTGGAAATGCAACAACATCCCTGAAAGAACTCAGAGACATCAGAGCTGCCTATGCTTTTCACTAAGAGATCGTCTTTTTCATTAACCCACTCAAAGTTCTCTACCTGATAAAGCAGACCTGTTCCTGTGGTTACTCTCACATCCTGTTCTAATAAAGATTTGGTTCACACCTTTCTTCAGCAGATTATTTGCAAACATGTTCCTGAGAAAACATTAGTTTCATCTAGGGCTGTAATCGCTTTCAGATTGCTCATCAGTTTTGAAAGCTTTCCCAAAGTTATCTCTGAGCTAACCTACTGAAGGAACAGGCACAAACTTTTCAGGACTCTACTTTATAACCTTGCTACCTAAGTGCACAGAGTATGTCCTTCTGGTACTGATTACCTGGCCAAGTTCAGGGAAGACTAAGTCCCAGGTCTGAATAAAACTAAATTAGTGAGGTTAGGCAGAGGTCCCCAAAGACATTACATTTTCTCAGTGTGCAGGTCAATGTTCTGGAAGAAACCCCATTTGTTTCTTCACTAGAAGAAAGGACACACAACACAATTAAGCCTTATTAGGCACTAGAGACCACCACCATACATCAAGAGACTAATCCAGAGCAAGATAGACATAATGAGTTGTGCTGCTCACTGAGCAACAGGTTTTATTATGTGCGTGTAATGCTGAACTTAACACAAATGTAAAATGCTGTAGCTGAGGCTGCATTCTTGCAAGAGTATGTTGAGAAAAGCCATACACTTCCTACACTTCAATCTAAAATAATTTGTTCAGAGCACCCCCTAGATGGAATACAGTGCAGGGCAAGGTCTGTCACAGCCTCAGGGGACTGAAACACCCAGATACTGCTACGCACCCTAACCACTGGTATGTAAGCAGTTCTTAACTTCTCTTACTCCATCGTGCATTACTGTTTTGTGAATTTAACTGTAAGATCTTTTTCATCACAAAGATTTCTCCACTTCCGACGCACTGCCAAATCAGCGCATAAACACGCTCTACAATACATGCTGCCAACTCATGACACTCATTGGTGCTACCCTGAAGTACTCAGTCTGTTTTCATTTCCTTTTATTGGCATAGCTTTCTGCCAGTGAATCAGTCAGCTAGTGGAGGCAGCCTAGGAAGTGCCAGCAGCAGACACAAGGAGTCAAAGCAGAGGTAAGTTTCTTCTTACATCTTCTGTGTATGTGTTCATGGTCTCTTCTCTCCTGCCTGGCTCCACAAAGGTGCACAGCCTGGGTTTTGTGCAGTTCCTTCTGAGAGCAGAGAGCTTATTTCCTCTCTGATCTGTAAATCTGTAGGCTATACACAGAAGCATGTATTTGCTGGTACTTAAGATAGGAAGACTAAATGTCTCTGTCTTGACCTGCACAAAGGGGAGAAAAAAGGCAAATCAATGTTTCATTTTCCTCTATTTTGCTTTCTTCAGTCTGAGAACACAGGAATTAAAGTTGCAGTATTCCAAAAGTGTGTGCAGATTAGCCATTCTGCTGTTGCAGTTTTGGACATTTGTATGTTAGTAAGGCAGTAGATTCTTATATAAGTTTATAGCCACAAGTGCCGCTCTGGTGCTTGTGTTTACATGTAATACATTTTTGACTGCCTGAAGTAGGAGAGTAGATTGATGACTTTCTAGAGGATTTTTGACTTGATTTCATTATATCTTAAAATCCCTAAAGAACTTGTAAGTGTGTCTCAGTCCTTTTTTCTTGTAAGTACATTGCTTTATGGCAATTCACTGTTTTAAATGCTTCCTTATGGGTTTATTTTATTAGATAAAAAAAAAGTGCAGATTGCTGTTCAAGGCTTCTATTTTGAAGTTTTTGCTTCTAAAGTTTAAGGGAGTAGTTGCCTGCCAAGCTAGGTGTTACTTATCTTGCTGTAACTAATTTGAAAATCAATAACCTGGAAATCCATGAGGAGTGCCAGCCAAGTGAGGTGATAATAGACTGCACTGAGAAAAGCCTGCACTAACACATTTAGCCTTTAAACTGCCTCACCTGGTTTTGGTAGTGATTCAAAAACAAGCTGATACTCAGCAAAACTTATTAAATTTTCTTCCCGAATGAGACTCCAGTTGCGGGGGAGGCATATGTTACTCCCATTACAAGAGTAAAATTGCAGAAAGCAGTGTTGTATTAGCTAAGTATATAGCTGGGAGGATTCCTATTTTGACAACCAAACTTAAGAAGTGCTTGGCATACAAAGGGAGTCCTGCCAAATACAGTCATGGGTGTTTCTAAACTATGTTTCGTTCTACTTGTTTGATGACTCAGATTTGACTTCTTTAACTTTGTTCTGTCAAATTTAAAGATGAAATTGTAAACCAGAAAAACTGGGAGCTCCCTCTCCCATAAGGAGTTACAGACAACGCAAAAATTCCTTGGGCACCCTCCCTCTCCCCCACGGCTCCTGCACATCTTCACTTCGTTTGCCAGGGAATGCTCTCCTACCTTCCCTTGATCTGTATCTCCCTTTCCAAGTGCAAAATATATATATATATATAGTGGCATGCCTTCTTATCAGCCGTCTTAAGCTAGAAACATGACATTGCATGAAAATTTCTTTATTAGGAATTGGATCCTCCACTGCTAGTGTACCTATCCATGAGTGGCTTCAGAAAGACTTTCCTCCTGAATCTGCTCAGCTTTCCAACACCACTGTATTAGAGCCAGCTCTCTCTACAGAACTCCCTCACAAACTCTAGCATCCAACCATGCATCCCGTGGCTACTTTAAAGCTATTCGTATGCTGATTAGCAGGTTAGTTCATGCTTGTGACTTGTTCAGGTGGTTACAGAGCAGAGAATACCTGTGTCGTGCCTGTTCTCCCCTCAGCAGGGCTCTGCCCCCAGCAAACACTTCTTCCCTGACAAACGCTCCCTAGGAGCTCCTGGGAACCCCATTACCTTACAGGCTTCTGTCTCACTGCTGAGCTTGCTAGAAATTCACCAGGGACAGCAAGAACTTAATTATGGGGTGGACAGAAAGGTGAACCAGCACAATCACAAAAAGGCCCTTTTAGGCACGCCCTTCTCTTCTGAGGAAACCAACCTACAAGTGCAGTCGTGCCCGCATGATGGTGAGGCAGTCGTACAAGCAGCCTTCACAAGCTGAAACTTTAGACCATGCTACACATCCCTTTGCTCCCACAGATTCTCTTACTGAACATTTTTAGGTGGCCTGCTTGATCTTGAAGGTCCTTCTCCATCTGCTGAATGACTGGAACTTTTCTCCTCATAGCACTCACTCTCCCCTCAAAGAGGCACCAACCTCTCTCAGGCACATTCCTCCGGCCCAGGCCACATCCCTCCTGGAGCCCCTGGCTCACTCCCCACCGCTCTTACCCGCCCTGAGCTGCCCACCAGCCCTCCTCACACAGGCAGCTGTTTCTCTCAGGCCTGGGGACAACGCACCTGGGGGAGCTTCCAGGAGAAACCCCCCTTAGTGCAGTTTAAGTGCACAGAAAGATCCCTTTTCTAAAGCAGGGAAAACACACATGCATGTGCTCTTTCACACAGACCCAGCATGTGGTGCCTCCTTATGCTGCTCTGCTGCCAAGGAATCGCCTCTTCAGCTGGATTCTCCTCCGTTCTGAACTCAGAGGAAATCCAGAAAAAGAAGTCGCACAACCCTGAATGCTTCATGAACGTTGTAAGTTTTTATTGTTGTCTCTGTGTTTCTTTTTAAATCTTTGGTTCCACTATCTCTACCCCACACATCACTAACAGTCTGTGATAGACCATATACAAATGGCAAGGGACGCTGAACCTCTTCTTCAAATAGCAGATGCTCACATCACAAAGTAACACAAGACCCCATGCTCCGACTTACCAAAGCTCTCCTCACAGCACACACAAAACCAGGGGTAAGTGCTCTCAGGAGTTCCTTCCTCACAGGAGCCCCACTCTTTACTTGCCTCCCCTGGATAGTTTGCCTAATCGGACTCTGGTAAGAAAGCACTCGTTCTGGACCAAGATCACATCATTTGGCATTAATTCAGCCCAGAGCCTGCCACATGTTTACTCTCCAGAAAGGTACAACTTGCATCAGCCTTGCACAACATGACAAACTATTGCACCTGCATTTGCTGAAGTAGATGAGACGACATCCTCTTTGGAGACTGCAGCTGAACTCCGTGGCTTGTCTCTTTACTTCCCCAAAGCCACCACGTTTCCCAGCAAGCAGCGGATCCTTCATCCCATGTTCCGAGGGACAGTTCTGGTGAGAACGACACACGCTTCCGAGCTCTGCAATGCACTAAACTAAACACTGAGTCCAGTCTAGGGCTTCCCCCCTGCCTTCCTGCACACATGTATCTGCTTTGCACGCTAGAGCTTGGGAACAAGATGGTGCTGAAACGCAATTCAAGCGTTTCTGCCCACTCTTCCCGTGGAAAAGCTGTGCTGTGCTCTTTGGCAGGAATCCTTTTAGGGACCCTTCCCACTAGCACAAAGTAGAGCAGAGGACAATAAGCTCCGTGCTACCACAAGCACTTGCCTGGCCCTTCCTCAGCCCCTCCACACCTGAGCTGCTTCTTGGCTGGCTTCCCATTTTGGCACACAAGCAGCCTCCAAACAGATAACTCCTTTTCCACCCACCTCTGCACTGTCAAAGTTAGTAACAAACTCTCCTTTGGCCTCCCACAGAGTGAAATTATCAGATATCACGGGTATCCCAGTGAGGAGCATGAAGTTACTACTGAGGATGGATACATTCTTCGTGTCTTCAGAATTCCTGGTGGGAGGAACAGTCCCAACACAGGTGTGTCAGTTACAGCCCCTAAGGAAAGGCTGGGAGGCAGCTCTTACATGGGCCACCCATCTTTCCCCTTTGCTCACGCCATGGCCTGCTCCACACTCTTGAGTTGCAGCAAAAGCACCTTGTCAGGAATTTGGGCTGCATTCCAAATCCATCTCAAGATTTAAAAAAACCCTCACAAACTAAATTCTACAGTCCAATCTTAAATAGTCCTTTTTTTTGTTTTTTTTTGTTGTTGTTGTTTTGTTTTGTTTTGTTTTGTTTGTTTGTTTGTTTTCTTTTCTCTCCAGGGCAAAAGCCTGTAGTCTTCCTACAGCATGCTTTTCTAGGAGACTCTACCCACTGGATTTCTAACCTGCCCAGCAACAGCCTTGGCTTCATCCTAGCAGATGCTGGCTATGATGTCTGGATGGGAAACAGTCGAGGGAACACTTGGTCTTTAAAACACAAGACCCTTAAACCATCCCAGAAGGAGTTCTGGCAGTTCAGGTACTCTGTGGAGGGTGAATCACTCAAGATGGCAGTTCCCATGGGACTAGGTAACTTCAGATGATGTTTTTTACCTAAAGCAGTATGAAAGCAGGGTCTGTATCAACTGAGGAGTGAAGAGAACATGACTAGTAAGGATACTCACTTTCTCTTACAATTGGGAGCAGTGCTTGGGGAAGAGATTTCAGACAACTGGAGATGAAAGGGAATGCTGAAGAAGGCAGAGGCAGTACTGTGAGAAGTACAAGACCAGGCTGCTCTGCTTTATCTCGGAATCTCTTATCTCTCACAGCTGATGTCAAGTGAGAAAGAAACATGTTTTGTAACCCTGTTAGTTAGAGCACTTATTCAATCCACTTCCCCAGGGATCATAGCTAACAGACAAGGCCGCTGTCAGCCTGGTAGCAGGGCTGCATAATTCCCTGCTTTTTCTCAAGTCTCAACACAGAATCCAGATGAAGTATGCAACCTCGTCTTTGAGCAGGTTCTACCTGGTGCCATGAACAAAGCCGAAATCCAATAACTCACGCTCTGATGGCCCACCTGTCCATCTGTCAACTTTTTGTGTTTCTCCCTGTAGCTTCGATGAGATGGGGAAATACGATCTTCCAGCAGAGCTCTACTTCGCCATGAACAAAACTGGACAGAAACATATATATTACATCGGCCACTCTGAAGGCACAACAATGGGTAAGATTAGGAGAGCTTAGGGTTCCTGGTATGTAATCAGTAGGTGGGACTCCCCATTGGCTCAGCTGTTCTTGCTTGTACAACGTGATTGATGGTAGAAGCATATTGTGAGTTGAAATTCGCAAAATATGTAAAACTCTTCCAAACCCAGCTTTGTTTATCAGAAATAGGCAAGGAAATGTAATAACAAATCCTAATACAGTTATACCTTTTAAAAATTACAGTGACATAAAAGCCATTATTTAACAGGTAGTCCAGGTATGACATTGGACATTTTTCTTAAAAGTCGGTGACAGGAATTTTCATTAAACTTAACTTTTGTATATGATTCTTTTCTTTATAAACGGAAAGGAAAAACAAGCTTTCGCTCAAAAAACACACTTAACTTCAAAGAACAGAAGACACAGAAAAAGAACCTCAGCTAAGTCACTCAATGCCAATCTTACAATTTAAAGCACTATTCATGAAAGGTTATAATTGGCCACATCACTGTTTTTAAAAAATATAACCAGAGATGGAAAAGTGGGAAGAATACTAATTACTTCCTTTCTGTTAGTTTCAACTTTTAACATGAACTTAGTCTTTGAATGCAATTAACTTTCCTTTAGCATCAGCTGAGATTTCCTAGTGCTTATGGCTCATGCCTAAGATCCAAGAATGGACAGTGGTTGCCCAGTGGTTGGGCAACTGCCCTTTCATTACATTAAAGTAGCTGGAAAAAAAAAGAGAAAGTAACATGGGAAAAAGCTTATGCTGAAAATCTCCAGGTCTTTCTTTTCCTCTTGTAAAAGCCTTTAAAGACTCGTGTCCGAACTAACCAGTTAGGCTGTCTTTAGTTGGCTTTGTCTTAAGCAATCAGTTGAAGACACTCAAAGCTCACAGTATTCAGGTAATTATTCTTTTACTTCATAGAGTAAATAAATACTGATAGTCCCTTAGAGACTACAGCCTGACAAACTCATAATTTTGTGACAGTTTTGTGACCTTTAGAGGTAATCTGTCCATATCACGAAATTCTCACTAATACCTACAAATCTATTTTGACAAAGTCAAAATCCAAATGTACTCTAACCCTCAGATTGAGCTCTGTCTCCCAAATATAATCAATTTCAAAAATTAGCAGCAACACTTCCTTATGCAAACCACGCAGCACAGACAAACCTGGCCAGACAGAGAGTGGCTCACTACATTCACTGCTTGTTTGCTGCCTACTGCTTTGTTTTTGTCTATTGAAGATCTCTTCACTAACTTAGACTGTCTCTTCTGTGTTCACAGGGTTCATTGCATTTTCTACATACCACGAATTGGCTCAGAGGGTCAAAGTGTTCTTTGCTCTGAGCCCAGTAGCCTCATGTTCACATGGTACAAGCCCTTTGGTTAAGATAGCGAGCCTTCCTGATCCACTACTCAGGGTATGTCATTCTTCCTCTCAAAAGGCCCAATGCCTGATTTATCTTCACAAGATTCACTTAACTTGAGCAGAAGTGGTCCAAAGGGGTGATATGATGATACAGAGTTCAGGAATAACCTACTTGAAAAATATATCCTCAAATGGCATGGGGAAGGTACTGGAAAACAGAAAGATGGGACTGCAGCAGCAGACCCCAGTGAGGTTGGAGACTTGTGAAACTGGCTTGTCATAGGATTTTTGCTATTACCTAACACTGTGCTGGCTTCATGAACGAAGAGCCAAGACACAACTGCAGTTACATCCCTGACAATCTCTGTGACTTCATTTATGTGTGCCTACTGAGGTCACTGCTCTAGAAAAAGGATTAGCTTCCTCCAGGATTGATGCCCAGTAATACAAGGCAGGAAGGATGGATGGTGTGCTCTGACAAAAATACATTTTAATTAGTACTGGGAGTGTAAACTATTTCAGGAATCTTAGGATACTGACTTAAGTGTAGGCTATTAGGCAACAGAAAGTTTCCTGTATTAAAAAGAAAAGAAAAAACTGTTGTACTTTTTCCTTCCTTTAGCTTATATTTGGCTGTAAAGGAACACTGCATCAGATTGAATTTATGAAAAAACCTGTGGCACAGTTGTGTACAAGCCTGGATAAGCTTTGTGGCCGTATACTCTCATACATAGCTGGGGGCAACATACAAAACATGAACACGGTAAGCAAATGCAAGAACACCTTGCCAAAGCAGGGTATAAATAATTTTGAAATTTTCATTTGTGCAGTCTGTCCTTATGTACTAACCATTACACATGTAAACATATATAAAACATAGTCCTCAACCGACTGAGGTAATACAAGGATATGATATGGTTTGAACAGTATTGAATAGGACTAAAGCTATTAACATAACCAATAAGAAGACATATTGAAATCACAGGAAAATAGGACTGAATTCAATCTAGAGCTTAGCTGTACCCTCTTTTGGGGCTGAGCTGAACAAGTTTTGGCCATCTAAAGATACTGTTTAAAAGGAGCCAGAAGATTATGGAGTGGGACTTCTCAGTAATACAGTTCCTACATTGCTTCCTAAGCAAGCAGATGCCATGGTCTCCTAAACACAGCAACAATTAAAGAACTGGAAACAGCTGTTCTCTGGCCACATTTTAGATTACTTGTATCACTACTTGATTCCAAAATATTACTCAAAAGAGCACGTTGCCATTTTTGTTCTGGCTCCTGCCTTGATTTTTCAGTCCTGCCATATATCAAACATCTGTTTCTCTGCTGGTTTTTGCTCTCTCATAAGCCTCCACGCCCCCATAAAACCTGACCACACATATAGTATGACTATGTATGAGTTGGCAGTCCAATAACAATCCTCCTCTACTAATTAAGCACGGTGTTGCCCATGGGCATCAGAGCCTAAGATCAGGCCCTGAGAAATGCCAGCTGCCTTTCTAGTGAACTTCTCCGAACTCATTTTACATCTGATTAGCCCCGACATAGAAGGCATTCTGCAACTTCAGTCTTTGTTCAGTGTCTTCCCCACACATGCTCTGCCAGCCTTGATCCACTTGGGAACTGAGGTACCACATTCTGAGCATCAGAGCAGTCCTCTCCTCAGAGCTGGGCCTCACAGCTCAGTCCCCAATATAGGGAGCTACAGAATATTTTTGCACTGTGTCTGGAATGAATGTCTATGAATAGATTCACAAAGAGCAGCATATCAGTCAGAGGAGATGGGAAGATCAAGAGAGCTGTCCCCACATTTACCAACATTTAGATACTGCAGTGCCTTAAATCCCCTTTACAGTGGGTGCGACCTAAGCAATGTTCATTACTGGAATATCTTTGAAGACCTGGGCACATTTTTCTCCATTAATAACCACTTGTAATGGCACATATAGGAAGGCCTTGAGACTCCAATGCCCAATGCAGAAGTAATTAAAGGCAAAGCAGCCCTTTCAAACAGCAGAACTAAACTACATTAATTCCCTAATGTGCTTCTCAGGGCAGGACAATAAGCTGAAAAAGGAATCTGAGGAGACACTAGAACATACCTTTAACAGAGATAGAAAAGTCCAAGTAGAAGAATAGCCAGTCTGTATGGGGGTATATTATAAAACTAGCTTCCTTTGGCATCAGGAGTAAACTGAAGAATAAATCAAATCTTCAAAAGACTTGGAGATATGTGATAGTTGAGCATGAGATTAGGGTTCTCATTTGAAAGGACTGAAAATTATTATCCTTTTTGTCTACTTTGTTTTGTTTTTCCCTATTGTTGTTGAACCATGTGTTTCGTCAGTGCTACTATCTTTAGGGAACAGACTCCCTCTCATGGAGAAAGCTCTGCCTTTACCAGCTATTCCCAAGTCTGTCTTCCAGCTTTCTGTTTGCTACTTCAAGAACACCCTGTTAGAGTGGGAATTTTACACAGCAGTTTGTACTCAGGTATTTCACAGTTTTTTTTTCCATCATAACATGGGATTCCTGCATTTGTAGCATTTCTGCTTTCTCTTCAGAGTCGAATAGATGTATACGTAACACATTGCCCAGCTGGGACTTCAGTTCAGAACATCCTTCATTGGCATCAGGTATGAATCCTGCACACCTGATGTATAAACTGACGTATCAACTGACTCTAACTCCTACTTTCTACCCAACTGGCAGCCTACAGGGAAGTCCAGAGGCCCTGGGCACCAGCCCAACACACCGCCTCACGGCCTCCCGTGGGCCACCTGACTCCCAGGCGTCATCAGCCTTTATTGATGAAGATGGTTGCCTTGAAAAGTCAGGAATGACCTCAAGTACAGCCTGGGCACTTGGCAGGCACTAAGAGGATAGCGGAATACTGGGCAGCTTGGGGATAAGCCAGAACAGGGAAGTGATCCAGGTTAAAACATTTTTCCCCAGAGGACTAATTGCAGCTTGGATCAGCTCCCAGAACCAGTTAAACACACAAATGCTTCCACTGGCATAAGGATGGAACTGCCTCATGCCACTCTCAAGTACACAATGAGCAACACCGTTCTACTGGGAGGCTCCTAATAGCCAAGTTTTTCAAAACTCTCTTCACCTTCCATGACAGCATCTAGATCCTAGAGTCAAATTCCCTAAAGGCAGGTTTCTACTCATGCACCAGCAGGCCTAAGCTTGTTGTTATTCTCTAAGCAGAACACTGTATCTAAGATAACTACACCTGCAGAGCCAGGATATATCTTTCTACATCAGACAGAAAATCCACAATTTCTGCCAAAATTTAATATGGTATTAAATATAGCTACTCTTGCAGACACCGCTGACAAAAATTACCAGTAGTCAGTCCCTTGGGATACATCTACTCAGAGCCAACAAATGAGTACGAGGCATTGTCAGCCAGCAGCTTTACAGACTGTTTCACCAACCCCTAACAAAGTCAAGTGGCTACAAAGCAAATAGAGATACAACAGAGCAGAAGAAAAAAAAGCAAGAGTAATACAAACAGCAGAACAAAAGAAAAACACTATAATAATAATTTTCCCTAGCAGATTTCTAGTGCTTGCTCACTTACTTGAAGCCTTGAAGACAAGGTTTTCTAAACCTTGCAATCCAAGCCAGACAGTCCAGGAATAACTCTGCAGTAACCATCCCATGATGTTCTCTCACCCTGATTATGCAAAGCCACTGAGAGAAAGAAAAGAAAAAGGAAAAAAAAAAAGAGAGAGAGAGAGAGAGAGAAGAGAAAGTAATCACACTATTCATTAAGTTTCAGTAACAAATAAATAAAATAAAACAAGAGAACAAATATATGTACTTACCTCTTCATTCATCAGTCCTACAGGGAAGATTGCATGTCTTGGAGACAACACATACTAAAGGAGCCAAGCATCTAGCATCTGAAGTCTCACCTCAGAGTTGCTCTCAAAGCACAACACATTTATAGTCAAGTTTCTGTAAAAAATTATGGAATTTCTGGAAATGTTACCATTACTGCTGTGAGCAGACAGACACAACCGACAGCCAGAAGACTAGATGTGCGAGGAGAGAACACACAGTACACTGGACTAGTAATAATTCCAACAGCTTCTAGATAACCAGGCCCTCCCAAAAGGAAACACAAACCTAGTCACGGGTCAAGATGGCAACGCCGAGTTTATTAAGCAAACATTTTGATAGCAAAGCATGCCATAGGCAGCATCTGAGGATCAGGATATGCTCAGGATCAGGTTAGCAAGGGGACAAGCAATAAAGCCATTCACCCTATGATCCACACTCATTACTTGAGGAAACCTCCAACCAGATTGAGAAAGAGGTAGGAGTCACTCACAGTTCAGCATCTGGGCACTTACACTCTGTTTCTCAGTCTTTTTAATACTCTGTGTCTATTTTTATTACAATATTAACAGATAAAATATGCAAGACGATTTCAAGCTTATGATTATGGTGCTAAGGAAAATATGAAGAAATACAACCAGGTAAGACAATAAGGTTTTCTTTAGAACTCATCCTTGTGCTCTGGCTAAGAATAGATCCTAAGAAAAGAACACTTTAGATTTCAGAACCTGTTACTTCACCTGCTACCAAGAGCAGGAGAGAGTTGTTCAAGATGATCTTTCACTTGAACCTAATACTGTGAGGCAAAGCATAAGGAGTTTCTTGTAGACAACAAACAAAATTGCTGATTTTGGTTGATTTTGTCTTCCTTACTGATGTGGGCACGTGCTCCATGACATTTCAACTTATCTGCCATTCTCAGAAGGCAAGACCCACACTCAAGTCCTGGGACTGGATTAGTGTAGCGCAGTAACTCTTCCTCAAAAAATCCTCAAGGTCTGCCTTTCTGTTAAGGAATGAAATGGATCTCTTACCTAAACCATGATGAGCTCTCCAATCATCTGACAACCGTTTAATATTTAGTCAGCACTTTTGACTTGCAGCATCCTTTTCTAAATTAGGACACGCAGTTTTTCACAGGCAGAAATTCTCCAAAATATGTAACTTTCACACAG